CTGAGCTACTCAGCTGCCCCTTTATTTTATATTTTAAAAACTGTCCTCATCCTAGTAAATGTGAAGCAATATCTCATTGTAGCTTTGATTTGCATTTTCCTAATGACTAATGATGTTAAATATCTTTTCATGTATTGACTGGCTATTTGTATGTCTTCTTTGGAGTTATGTCTATTCAAACATTTTGACCATTTTTGAATTATTTTTGTTGTTAAGTTTTAGTAGCTCTTTACATATTCTGGATATTAAAACCTTACCAGATACATTACATACAAGTATTTTTTCTCACTTTGTGAGTTGTCTTTTTGTTTTTGTAATAATGTCTTTTGATGAACAATGGTTTTTAATTTTTATGAAATCCAATTTATTTTTTTCTTTTTTGTTGCTCATGCTTTCAGTGTCATATCCAAGAATCTATTACCAAACTCAAGATCATAAAGATTTACCCCTTTGTGTTCTTCTAAGAATTTTATGGTTTTGACTCTCATATTTAGGTCTTTGATCCCTTTTAAGATAAATTTTTAAATGGTATAAAGTAGGGATCCAACTTCATTTTTGTTCATATGGAAATCTGATTGACCCAGCACTTTCTTCTCATCTCCACTTTTAATTCAGATAAGATGTTTGGGGAATATTTGCAATTTCCCAATATTATTCCTGGTATTACTAATACTGAATATTTTACTTTCTGAAAATATTTGATTAATTGAATTTTCCAAACTAAATTCTTGTGCAGTTAACTGCTAGTTCTTAATAGAAAAGAGAAAGTCACAGGAGAACTAGTACGTTAGAATTGGCAAGTAGAAACTCTTCAAAAATTGGTAGTTATCCTTAGTGGTTTAAGAAAAGAGATAAATTAAAGAGTTTTATTAAAGATAAAGAGATAATCTGAATTATTATTTAATGACGTTGGGGTGCCTGAGTGGCTAAGTCTGTTATATGGTTGCCTTCGGCTCAGGTCATAATCCCAGGGTCCTGGGATCAAGCACCATGTTGAACTCCCTGCTTAGTGGAGAGGCTGCTTCTCCCTTTCCCTCTGCCTGCCTCTTTGCCTACTTGTGCTCTCTTTTTATCTTGTGGTCAAATAAATAAATAAAATCTTTTTTTTTTTTAAAGAGAGAGATAAGAATGATGAGCTAATGATTTCAAACTAATAATTACTGCTTTCAAATACTTAAAGGGCCATTATATGAAGATTCCTAACTTACCCACCTTCATAGGAAAAAAGCTAGGGAAAAATACATATATACTTACAATTGGAAAGACTTCCAATTTGACATCAAAGAAAGGCTTTTAATGGCAAAATAATAATGATGATGATAATAATAATGCTTATGGATCACTTACCATGTGTCAGACTCTGTTTTGAGCCCAACATGGCTGGTACTATTATCATCAGAGCTAAACTTGGACTTGAACCTGAGGAGTCCAACACTGTGCCCAGGCTCTTATCCACTGTGCTAAACCACCTTTGTTAAAATTGAACTAACATTAGAACACCTCTCTCTCCTGAGAAAAGCCATCGTCTTTCCATTAGCAGAGAACTTCAAAATAGGATAGACATTTATCAGTCAAATGAAATTCATAATCCTGTCACATTTGATGGTATCAGTCTTCCAATTCTACTCAGACACCAGTTGCTTTTTTATTGCTCTCCTTTTAGCAAAAAAGTCTGAATCTATTCTTGCCTTCCTCCCTTCTCTAAAATGCCCAGCAGGGTGGCTTTCAAACGCTTTTTAACATTACATAAATACCCTTTTGAATAATATGGACAAATTCTCAATGACACATTTTACAGAAAAACATAATACCCTTTGTTTTCCCTTTTTGATCTTTGGGACTTTGTTTTATAATTCATGGAGACATTAACCTTTCAGGTGGATTTGAGAATCCTTTTTATTTAATACAATTTTGTTTGTATTCTGAAAACCCAAGGACATTGAAGTATTTATTCCCTGCTGAATAGAGCACTGTGTACATGTGTCTTTGTTTTCTCTGAAAACGTCTCTTAACCTTCATACATTTCCTCAGGGCTCTAGTGTGTGGGCTTACTACATATTGTTCTCTCTATAAGAGGTAATGTGACATGCTCCAACAGGTGTGCTGCTATAACAGTATCCCAATTTTCTTAACATCCTCATTCCCCTCACACCATCATTTCCATGATACTCTTTCAGCGGAGCTATAGCGAAAGCAAAAACTAATTAATTTTTGTAATAGAAAACAAGATCTGAAATGGCAAGGATTTCACCTGAGAAATCACAAAGTATATGAGTGGCAGACCTGGAGTTCTGGCCCACATCTTCTGATGAGAGAGTTAAGAGAAGTGATTTTTACTCAGAGAGATTTTGCCTCATCTCCACAGGGCACATTTGGAAATGTCTGGACTACATTTTTGATTGTCTGAACTGGGGGCAGGAGGTGGTTCTACTGGCATTTAACTGGTAGAGGCCAGGGGGACTGCGAACAACCTACAATGCACAAGACAGCTGCTCCAACAAAGAATTATCCGGCCCCAAGTTTAATGGTGCTGCTGTTGAGAAGCTCTGTTTTAGAGTGATGGAAATTGGATTTGAACCCTGCTCTGCATCTTACTTTGAAAACATGGGAAAGTGGCTTCATTTTTTAGAATCTGCTTTCTCATCTGAAAAAACAAAACATCCACCACCATAAGCAAACAAACCAAACCAAAAGCAAACAGAACTCCCACTTTCCAGAGTAGTTGTGAGAAACCAACTTAAAAGCACTGAACAGAGAATGCTGAGCATATAATGGGCCCAACAAAAAAAAATCAGGGCCACACCACAGCATTCAATTATAAGACAAGAAATTAGCCAGAAAGACATCACTGATATGAAAAAGAAGGCTCCCTAGCATCCTATCAACTTCTTAAAACTTTTTAGAATAGAAATTCAATTAATTAACATACAATATATTATTAGTTTCAGGCATAGGATTTAGTGATTCATCAGTTGCCTATAACATCCAGTGCTCATTACATCAAGTGCCCTCCTTAATGTCCATCACCCAGTTACCCCAACCTCCAAACATCTCTCCTCCAGCAACCCTCAGTTTGTTTCCTATAGTTAAGAGCTTCTTATGGTTTTCCTCCCTCTCTGTTTTTATCTTGTTTTATTTTTCCTTCCCTTCCCCTATGTTCCTCTATTTTGTTTCTTAAATTCCCCATGAATGAAATCATATGGTATTTGTCTTTCTCTGACTAACTTATTTCACTTAGCATAATACCCACTAGTTCCATCCACATTGTTTCAAATGGCTTGATTTCATTCTTTCTGATGTCTGAGTAATATTCCATTGTGTGTGTGTACACACACACATACACACACACACATTTTATATACACACACATATATACATATACATATATATCTCACATATTCTTTATCCATTCATCCGTCTATGAACATCTGGGTTCTTTCCATAGTTTAGCTATTGTGGACATTGCTTCTATAAACATTGGGGTGCATGTACCCCTTCAAATCACTATTTTTGTATCCATTGGGTAAATACCTAGTAGTGCAATTGCTGGGTCATAGGGTAGTTCTATTTTTAACTTTTTGAGGAACCTCCATATTGTTTTCCAGAGGGGCTGCACTAGTTTGCATTCCCACCTACAGTGTAAGAGGCCTCCCCTTTCTCCGCATCCTTGTTAAAATCTGTTGTTTCCTGACTTATTAATTTTAGCCATGCTGACCTGTGTGAGGTGGTATCTCACTGTGGTTTTGATTTGATGCCAAGTGATGTTGACCATTTTTTCATGTGTCTGTTGGCCATCTGTATGTCTACTTTGGAGAAATGTCTATTCATGTTTCTTCTTGACTGGATTTTTTGTCCTATCAGCTTTTATATGGAAAAGAGCAAAAGAGATGGAGAGAGGTGCAAGATAATTAAGCATCATCAAGGACATAGTATGAGGAGACCGGAAGAGATGATGAGACTGGAAATGGAAAGGTGTGGGAAGGATGTATAAGTGAGAGAGATTTCAGCAGTGACCTGGAGGGAAATCTGAGAGATATTTAGGAGGAATCAGAATTTGGAGAGCAATTAAAAAGGGGCATGAGAGAGGAGTCCAGGATGTATGTGGGATATCCAACTTGGGCGCTTGGGTATTGGTGATACCATTGAGCAAGAAAATCAAAGGGCAGGACAGATAATAAATTCAGCTGTAGATATATCAAGTTTGAGATGCCTGGGACATATTTAAATGATAACCAAGAGGCAGTGAGGTCTGGAAATCTGGGGAGGAGCCAAAGATTTGAGAGTCAGGAGTCTGAAAGCAATAGTTGAATCCATGGGAATGGGCTATAGAGCTGGAATGACCATTTTGAGGCAAGATGAGATGGACCCCTCCCTCTGGACTGGGTGGAGCAAGTTAAGTTGGGCAGGGATGTAAGTGGGTCTGGAAGGGTGAGGAAACATAAGTTTGAAGAAATTCTTATTGGAGAGAATCATTTTTCACTATCAGACTATAGGCAAGCTCAGCTGTTGATATAGGATATGGGACACAAAGGAAGGTAAGTGCAGTGACTAACCTTTAGGGATTGGGGAGGGGCACTGACAAAGTAGAAAAAGTGAGTAGAGATTACAACTTCAAGAAGTGGGTATGTGAGGGCTATCTCAAAGTACCAAGGTTACCTTGGGATTCATATCTAATTTTTTCTAGATTAGTAACAGAACACATCCATCCTTATAGAGAAGCAATAAACTGAAGAATTTGTTTGAAAATGGGTATAGTGTGTGTGGGTTCACCAACCATATTGCAAATTAAACTGGGCATGAGATCAATTGTATATACAGACTAATTGTGTTATCTCCATGTTTGAAAGTGAGTCCTCAACATCCAGAGTTGAAATTTGAGTTTCTTTTCCACAATCCCATAATCAAGTAAGACAGTGAAAATGATCAATGAAATAAAAATAAATGAATCATGATGAAATTGTTTTCTTTTGCAGAATCTTACCTTCTTTTGAACCCAAGTCATGAGTTGGACGTTCCTCAGAGACCTCTTAACTGGAGTAAACAAATATTCAACTGGCATTGGACGGATTTGGCTGGCTGTTGTGTTCATCTTCCGTTTGCTGGTCTACGTGGTCGCGGCAGAGCATGTGTGGAAAGATGAGCAGAAAGAGTTTGAGTGCAATGTGAATCAGCCTGGTTGTGAAAATGTGTGTTTTGATCACTTCTTCCCCATCTCCCAGGTCAGACTTTGGGCCTTACAACTGATCATGGTCTCCACGCCTTCACTTCTGGTGGTTCTACATGTAGCCTATCATGAGGGTAGAGAGAAGAGGCACAGAAAGAGACTGTATGTCAGCCCAGGTATGATGGATGGGGGCCTGTGGTACACTTACTTTATCAGCCTCATCGTTAAAACTGGTTTTGAGATTGGCTTCCTGGTTTTATTTTACAAACTGTATGATGGCTTTAGTGTTCCCTACCTTATGAAGTGTGACTTGAAGCCTTGTCCCAACACTGTGGACTGCTTCATCTCCAAACCCACCGAGAAAACCATCTTCATACTCTTCTTGGTTATTATCTCATGCCTGTGCATTGTGTTGAATTTCATTGAACTGAGTTTTTTGGTTCTCAAGTGCCTTATTAAGTGCTGTGTCCAAAAATACTCTAAAAGTCTTCAGTCCTCAGCATGTGAGCGCCACAACCTGATATGTTGAATGTGGTGAGATAGGAACTCCTCCCTTACTCCAGAATCGCCATTCGGATTTGGCCACAAGCTCACCCCATCAAGATAAAACCAAGCTACTTTTTGACACACAAGAGGTTAGACAAGGAAAACCGGCATCCTTTCTGAACAAGATCTGAGCTACACTGGAAAACAAAGGGCATCAACCGTCATAGGATTTGGGATTCCTTTTTTTTTTTTTTTAATTTTCAATATGTGCTCAGTTGTATACACTAGACAGAGATCTCATTATTGTAGGGTTCTAGTGGGTATGTGAATTGTGTTTGAATAGTTAATTGCAGATTAGTCTGAAGAAATTCAACAAGCAGCATTCTTTTAAATGCTTAGATCCTTCAACCGGAAGATATAAAAAGTGACACTTCTGAAAAATGTGATGGCCTCCAAGCTGAGGTTGATGCACTGGCAATCTTTCCAGAGTGGCAACCTAGGCTCCCCTCACTCAGCCCTACTTAATCTCTGCAGAGAAAGAGTATGTTGAGTGTGGGGCAGCAGCTAACCGAGGGCACACAGAAGCACACACAATGACACTCAGTAAGAAGGCCTGGCCTGGGAAAATGACCACAGGGCCCAGGACTCTGCAGGTCACGGCTCCCTGGTTGTAAGTGGACTAGGGGAGAGGGAAGAAAGCCATCATTTGTGGTCTCCAAGTTGATACAAATATTACCAGGAGATATTCCACTTAAGCCTGAACTAGGAGGCACCTGAAAGGGTTACTCTAGAGACACAGAAGCAGGTCCCAACAAGTACATTGACCTGGAGCAGGGTAGGATCTAGAAAGAGAACATACCCAGCTTGATAATTACTTGACACTTCTACCATTGAACATTGAACTACTTTGTAAATTTCTGTATGTTGAACTTTTTTATAATCAGAAATTCAGAATGTATTCTACAATATATCATAGTTTGCCCACAATTTACTAGTACATCTCTATCTAGATAATAAAATGTGTACTGTGCCATTACATTGGTTTGAGAAATGTAAAAAATCAAATAAAATGTTTATTATTACTTGATTGGGAGCCTAGATTTTAGGTTTTTTTTTTGTTTGTTTTTAAGAGAGAGAGAGACTCTTGAGCAGGCTCTACACCCAGCATGGGATCCCACAACCCTAAGGTCATGACCTGAACGGAAACCAAGAGTCAGAGGCTCAACCAACTGACCCAACCAGCGACCCTTTACTTTCTCATGTTTTTTTTAAAAATCACAGATATATTATTTTTGGATTTAATACTCTAATGGATGTGCATTTATCCAGAATAAAAATGGTTTTGTTGTGTTGTCTGCCATTGATATTGTTACTTGATTGCACTATTATTATTCTGTGAAATAAACCTTTTCTGACAGTTTCAGAACATGATTTGCAACGCTGCTTGGTAATGATAGCTCAGAAATCATTCTTCCCCACTGGGAATTTTTTAAGGAGACTACAGTGCATAAAAATGTAATTTTAACTGAAACTGATTTTGTCATGTCTTCCATGGCCCTGCCCTCTTCAGCAGAAAGCCACTGCAATTCATGCATAATGGAGGTTATTTCTGTCATTATCTACAAACTGTGTCACCAACAGTGGTCATAATCTGTCTTAAAGACTGTGCCGTGGACAACACAGAGAAAGGTGAACTTTGTGGTTTTCCCCATCTTTCAATTTATGCCTCAGATCCCTCACTGTTGCACTCATAAGGCTACATCCATTTGATATGAAAACACCTCAGCTTCACAAATGCAGATAACCACTGAAGGCCTTAAAGGAATACATATAAATTTTTGACAGTGATGGGGGTTAAAGAAGTTTAAGGTTTTTGAGGCCCCGATCATAGCACAGAATCTAGAAAATTGGGTTTCAGTGCACAGAACTGGAATGGAGATGGTTTTTCAGTCTGAGAGTAAATTTGCTGCCAAAGATGTTTTGAGGAGCTCAGTCTCTTGGCATCAGTTATAACAACAAATTTTGCTCTGGGGAAAAGGATGGGTGGGACATACGCTTTGCTTGCTTTCCCACTTTGCATGGAGAGAAGATGGAAAGGTAACAGGAGAAATGACTGTGAATAAAGTTGTTTAGACAAGAAGGGGAATGATTTTTAAAAATTTTATTCCTATTTTTTTAAAGATTTATTTGACAGAGAAAGAGAGAGAGAGAGAGATCACAAGTATGCAGAGAGGCAGGCAAAAGGAGAAGGGGAAGCAGGCTCCCTGCTGAGCAGAGAGCCTGATGAGGGGCTTGATCCCAGGACCCTGAGATTCTGAGATCATGACCTGAGCTATAGGCAGAGGCTTCACCCATAAGCCACCCCAGACGCCCCCTTTTTTCCCCTTTAGAAGATGCAAAGCCTTTGATTGAAACTGGCATTTAAATTTTGACATCTTTATTGTTTCTCTTATCAATAAATTAAAATTTATTGAGCTATGATCAATATGAAAAAGACACTGTGCTATGTACCTTCAGAGATCTATAATTATGGCCTCAAGAAAATCTCCACTTTCATGGAGGTGCATGGAGGTGAAAATGGGGGCAGGAGGAGTATTTCACACTTGTGTCCTGGATTGACATGGTCACCTCACCTGACTTGACCCCCCTACAACACTGATGCTGAGAAAGCAGGCAATAACCTTTGAACCCCAAGATTGAGTCACTTCCTTTCAGGGATATACATCTAGTAAAAGTAGGGTTAATGATCAACCATGGTTTTTCCTTAAACCACCTTCTCAACTCATCAGTCTTCCCAGATCACTAAACAGTTATCTTCTTAATGTCATTCAAGCCATTCCTGAGCTGCAGTTACTTTGGCTTTCTACACTTATCCCCCAAATCTTTCTGGTTACAGATTTTGTCTGTGGCCACAGGGTTTCTTCTCATTGAAGCTGGAGGGAATTTTTTTTTTTTTTCAAGTGCCTGTATGAAAGAATGCCTAGGATTGCAAGTAGCTATGGTACCAGGCTTTCCAAGGAAATTAAACCAACTTCCTCAAGACATAAAGATTGCAAAGTTAAGAGGAGAGGAGAAAAAGGCAAAGACCTGAGAACATTTGAATTGTTCAATCCTGCTGTTCTGACACAGGCTCCCCCCCCTTCCCACTCCATCCCAGCTTTCTGCAGTTTAGTTAAATGAAAGATGAATTCCCCATTTTTGCTTAAGCTGGTTTAAATAGGGTTTCTGTATCTTGCAACTGGAAGAATCCTAATAAAACCATGTTCTTTATACATTTCTTTCCCATACAATTAAAAAATGAGGAGGAGGTAGGATACTTCTCTTGTACTTACTCTCCCTTTTTAGGCATCGAGCATCCTAACTTTTACACAAGTGTATGTATAGAATGTTTGAGTGAATAGGGGGAGACATGTGGAAGGATTTCAACATTGGTTATGATAAAGGAGAGAGAATTATTTTTCTTGATAAATCTTTTGTTTCACATTGGTGTTCTTAAAAATTTAATAAAGAAAATAAAGCAATTAAAAGCTCAAAGTGCCCCATCCCAACATAGGCATAGCACACCTTCCTCAAATACTGATGCCAACTTATTTCTAGTATATATTTCATTCTGTTTGTATATTGCTATATTAATAGCACAGAGCACAAAAGAGAGGGTGTGTCTCATTTCTGTAAAAAAAAAAAAAATGGTGAGGAAAGCAAGAACCACTGGTGGAGCGTTTAAAGGCAAAAAGTGTCAGCATTCCTTCGGATTTTATGACAAAATCCCAAGGAAGGTGTTCTGGGAGAAACTGAGCAGAAGCTCTTTCTTTAATATAAAATTGGTTCTTTCTCACAGAGCAAATCTTCCTTCAGCTGTAAAGGATAATGGTGATTGTGGGGAGTTCTGAGAAATTTCCACAGACCTATCTTGTCTCCACTGTGTCAGGGAAATTTTCTTATTCTAAGTAGATTAAGATCATTTTTTAAAAGGCTGCGATATATCATATATTGTTTGAAAGCAAAGTAAAATGAGTTCTGCGTGTTGCCCAAATAGGTCAACATTCCCATCTACTTAAAGGTGAAGTATCTGCTCCTTCCCCTACTATGGAGATTTAATTTTCTATCAAAAAGGAAAAATACTGTTCGAAGTGATATATGTAACTTCTGTTAATTTTGTCTTGAAATTTTTTCAGACATTAGTGCTGTCAGAGTAAAGATGGACAGATGGCGGTGGTATAGAACTATCTGTACAGAATAAAAGGAAATTGAAATTGAAGAAGTGAATTCCAGTTTTCTATCCTTTAGAAAAAGGTCACTGTTGAACTCTGTGCAATAGGTTGGGTCCAAAGGAGAAAAATATTAAGCAATCCCATTTTCACTTTCTTGCTATAAAAATTTCATTAACTAAATTGATGATCATCAATCCCTTGCAACTAAAAGAAGTATTAGTCATTAGGTTAAACAAGTGCTTTCATTTATAAAGCATTTATTTCAAAGGACAGTCAGTGCAGCAACTTGAGATTTGACTTTCTATGGGAGACTAGCAAATGTGATAAACCAATCTTTTCAGAGAAAATGGCCTCTAATTACATTAACTTGATGACATTAAAAACTACTCACTGTGGCTAAGGTGAAGGTTGTCTTATTCATCTTTTCATATCCTGTATCCCCACAGCTTAGGTCCCTGGTACTTAGGAGTTCAAGGTTTCTTGGGAAAAAATCTGTTCCTCTTGCTTCTTCCTTTGTCTACCCAACCATTTACTCTTCTTCACCTAAAGAATTCTGATTTTGTTGGAGGTGGCAATGTCCCCGCTAAAAAGTCACATTTCCAAGTCTTCTTTCCACGTAAAAGCAGCAGCGTGAAATCTTATAAAAACAAGATTTTTTGACCAAAGCTTTGGGGAAAGTTAAAAAGTAGGACTGACCTAGCTTGCATGCATCTTTTCACTTCCCAGCCCCTTCCTGCCTGAGACATCATAGCTAGAGCTGCAGTAAGCATCTTTCTACCATGCAGTGACTTTGAGGATGGAAGAATGACCTAATGCATGAAGAAGCAGAAAG